AAAAAGGTTTATGACTTAGATTGACAGTTCCCCCCAGAGGCCAGAATACGTCACTCAGCAGTAATCACGAAACACTTATCTTTTATCTACAAGCCTGATAACCATCAGAGTGCACTGTCTTATCTGTAATATGATAATGGGTAATGGGTCCAAATTATTTGCAAAGGCAGTACATTGGTGACAAGGGGTGTGTTTGTACACATGTATACTCCCTCTCATTACCACCTCTAATGGGGCCATGAATAGTTTAGTAGAGCAAAGTTGCACCTTTAGAATGGCAAACAAGCCCCTTTTGACCTGAGGTGATAACATGCATATAGATACATACATGGAGCCAGGCATTATTGATTGATCACACCAGAGTTTAAGCGATGGGTGTTTGGACTTATTTTATATGTGTCCTCTTCTACTCATACAACCAGTCAAGTCTAGTTTTTAAAAGAGGAGAGTTTGATTAAACCATCACCATCAGTTCAATCCCCTTTGTGGCTCATATTTACTTTAGATTTTACTAGTCTCTTACTAAACCATTTAAGTACCGTTCCTCACTCTCAATATAGTGCTTGTTGGTCGTGTTCATACTGTATGAAGCCCCTTTTGCAAACAGTATGCAGGAACCAACTGTATCCTTCTTACAGGTTTGCCCAAGATGCTGGTAATCAGGAGCTACTTTGGTGTGCCGAGCCCTACGTCTGGTCCAGCACTCAGCATCCAGGCGGGTGACATCATCGAATTAATCTGCGCCGACATTCACAGCCCCTGGTGGCAGGTCAGAGGTCACACTATCTCTTAATCACATATTTCACATTACGGTAAAAAGTGGACCTACTGTATTTAAATCTCTCATTTCCTCTACTGTCAGTCCATCTAGCCCTCATCCTGACCTCATATTCTGTAATAGGGTTAGAATGATGTATCGGTTAGTCGGTTCTCCCTTTTTATTTTAAGCCAGATCTGGTATAGTCAGCATGGTCCACTTTTAATCAAATGGATTTTGCACTAATGTCCTGTGTATCATCAGATTTGTTTATAGTCAAAAAATAGCATTCCAGATGTATTTTTGGAGTTATTGATAACAAGCTGCACTTGAAAATTCAATGAATTCTTAGTAACATGTATACACCCACAGACAATTACACACACTTCACAACACGTCTTATAAGGAAGTTCAACTCCCAATAACTGGAAATGTTTGTTGGTTTTATGCAGGCAATTACTATTATGTGACAACACGTGTGATTTAAACTGCACTGGAGGAAGAATTAATATAAGCTGTTTTCTGGAAATGCACTGTGGTGTAGCAGTCACTCACTGTGTGTGTTTGAGAGAGGTTGAATCAAAGTCATCATAATAATTATAATGAGACTTAACCTGAGGCCTGAAAATGGGCATTTTATTGACATGAACGACTGTACTATGGTAGTATAATCAGACATGTAATGAGGAAACTAACAAATCTCACCATACTTAATACAAAACAGATAAAAATAGATGAAGAATTCTATTAACCCTGTGTAAAAGCTTAACTAGAGGCAGCTACAGCCCCACAGTCAGCAAGCATTCAATATCCATCACATTTGTAGCCAGCAGACCATAATCATTTCTGTTCTGGGGGTGCGTGACAAATAGAATCGATCACTGTAATTTCATTTCATTCAACAGCAACCATCTGTTTACCCTGTCAATGTTACCAGCTATAATGACTATCACACCCTTAGCAAGGATGCAGCAGAAAGCAAGGCTTTCCACAAGGACTGAAAAAATGTCCTTAGGTAGCAGGGATGTGACAGCTGATGACCATAAACCATCAAAATGGGCTTAGCTGGTAGTGTGCTACCGGTTCCTCTGAGATTATGTCCAAAAACGCACCCCTCACACACCCCTCACACTTATTCACAATTTCCTGTAATATAAGACTGCAAAATATGGGCAGTGCTAATTAATCCTATAAATGTCAAAATCAGAATGTCAAATCAAAACAGTCTGACAGTCAACAGGCAGTGCATGTACAGCCTATTGGTGCTGCAGCTGTTGAGATGATTATAGTTCTGCAAACTATGTTGTAAATATGAAAAAAATACATGTATAGTTCCTGAAAAAAGCCTCATGCATGTCATTCAAGTCCAAATAACTACACATAATCGAGTGCGCATGCAAAATATTAATCCTCAACAAAGTTCTTTAAGAGTCCTACAATCTAAAAAAAAAAAAAAAAAGGGATTTGCTAGCTGACCACTATTCTGCATGTGACCTCTCAGTACAAATCTTTGGAACATCTCTCTGGTGTGAGAAGAGCCCACAAGGTCAGTTACTGTTAAATCTTGGTGTCATGTCAGAGGAATTAAGATAATTTATTAATGAAGGAGCCACGTTGTGCCAGCTGAGGAGAGGTGTGAGGATGTACCTCTGCCAACAAGTTGGCTGGCGGACACACAAGTTAAATCCACGAAACATAGAGGTTGCTTTTCACCTGTGCAATCTGGATAAATCTTATTTATCAAACTGAATTTTATTTATGTGCACTTATTTTTATCATTTATTTATAGCACCTTAGACGGTTGTGCACCCCTGCAGCTGTTGCCTGTACTGCCCAGCAGCCACCTCAGAGCAGATTTTATTATTGTTGTCTTATATTAAAGGTCCAGTGTGAAAACTTGAGGAGGATCTATTGGCAGAAATGACATATATAATATATTGCATAGTTATGTTTTCATTGATGTATAATGACCTAAATATAACAATCATCATGTTTGATGTCTGCAACTACACTGCTACATGCAATTAAATCCTACTTCCTGGACCTTTAACAGGTAGCCCTATTAAGTGGTGACTGTGTTGGCCAAATGCGTCTGTGGTTACTCGTTGTGACCATAGATGTAATATAAGAACTGGATACCGAACACAAAGATGGCGCCCACTCACTTGAATGAAAATTGTCAGTCATCAGTGCGTTTCCTATCGATCCATAGACTTTACATTGAGACAATGTCATCCAAATAATAATAACTTTTCTAGGCTTACGAAAAGTTGTACAAATATGAATTAAAAATGTATTCAAAATACATAGAAAGAGTAACAATTGGGCTCATTTAAGTGATTTGTATTTTTCATTTAGCCCTAAACATATTAATTACCTACCAAAAACAATCATTTTATATCTGTCATTTCTGAACTTTAAAAATGCTCAGAACTCTTATTATGAATCATTTTTAGCCTCGTGTTCTTTTCAGCTCTGGGAATCATGACTGAATTATTGTCCCATTTAAGTCAAATATTTTGTCAGTGCACAGAACAACAACAGCATCAGCAACCCACAGCGCCTGAGTCAATCAGAAGAAGATAACTACACTATGGCCTCTATAAAACCCCTATTTATATGGACTGAGTCTCCCCAGTGTTGATAAATCAAGGCACTGAGCTTAAAGAGTTGTCAGCATGGGAGGAATAAGGAACTCATCCTGTTTCCCTCTTCCTGCCAGTCATTATTCCAACAATAGTTAACTAGGGCTGTAAATTTACACCGATCTGTGTTGCAAGCTAATTGTTCCTGAATTATAGAGATGGAGTCAGCCAGATGTACATAACGCAATTATCTCTCTGTGGTTTCAGGGCAAGATTCTGTCGACGAAAGAGGTTGGCTTCTTTCCAAGCGATGCTGTGAAGCCTTGCCCATGTGTAAGCAACACTTCCTTCTATTCCTTTGCTACATTAGCGCCTGTTGGAGCAGCCCACATTTGGTTAGATGTATTTACTAGCAGTTGCGTGATGTGGGGATGGCTGGGGACTTTTGAGGTCAGGTAAGCTATTTTACCTGGCATGAGAAGAAAAACAGCCCATGGGTTTCTATGTCATGAAACAAGGAACTTGTCTTATGAGATAAAGGTGGTTTACTGTCTAATTCACTTTATCAATAAGAAGCGAAGCACAATGCAATATCTTATAAGGAACAAGCAATGCTTTAAGTTGTGCAAAGAAAACAGGAAAGCTGAGAGGTAGGAGGAAGTGTGTATTGTCTTCACTGACTTGACTGTGTATCAATTGCCTGTTTTTGTTCTTGTTTGTTTAAATCACTCCACCACTGGATTGTCATGTTCCATTTGATAAAATGAAATTCACAGTCTGTCCAGCTGATGCAGGAATATGAGCCTCCCCGTAGACAACAAACCGTTATCACCATGTCTACACTGTTGTAAAGATGAGAGTAGTATTAAGCGGTTTTATTGGGGCTGTACAGTGTAAAAGCACCTGTTTTATAGAAGAGCAAAACATCAGCTTGAAAACAGTACTGGTGCCAAGTAGACAATTTTACTGTTGTGTTGTTTTGAGGTTGGATGAGTGTAAGCTTCATGAAAATAACAAAAACACATGTCCACTTTTGCTCTTTGCTCCAGGTCCCGAAGCCCGTCGATTACTCCACTCAACCTTGGTATGCTCGCAAAAAATCAATCTCAGTCTGACTGTATTTAAGCATAGATGGTCAAAGTCTTGCTGAATCACAGAGTTTTATTGGACAGAGCAAAACACAGAAATTGCAGATAAATACATGTGTAAGCTAATTCAACAGCAATGACAATACAGAGTAATCAATGGTTTGCAGACAGTCAATAACTTCATTATTATTCTGTAATGAAGTTTAGGTGGGTCAATTCACGTCTCTTTGGCTGTTGTGTTGTAGGTATGCAGGCCCCATGGAGAGGCTGCAGGCAGAGGCAGAACTCATCAACAGGGTCAACAGCACCTACCTGGTCCGCCATCGCAGCAAAGAGTATACAGAGTACGCTATCAGTATAAAGTAAGTCTGACATTTCTATCAAGTCATTCAAGAAGGATCCTACCTCATCTACAGACAGTGACAGTATGGGGCGCCCTAGTAGCTTACTTGGTAGATCGTGCACCCCACGTACCCAAGTCTTTACCCGAGTCCTTACTGCATCAGGCTGGGTTCGATGGCAGCTGTGGCCCTTTGTTGCAGGGCTTCCTCCTCCACTCTCTTTCCATTTCCTGTCTCTCTTCAACTGTCTCTGTCCATTAAAGGCAGAAAAAAGACAGTGACATTATCACTGCCACTGCTTACAGCTAGATTCCACCATGTTTATACAGTAGCCCAGAACAGACCAACCAAACACTGGCTCTAGACAGGGCCTTTCACATTTTTCACAGCTATCGTAGTGTCTACTGCATGCTTGGAATGGCGGGTGAGGGAAAGGTGTTGCAATCTTCAACACCGCAAGATGTCATTAAATCCTACACACTGGCCCTTTAATATGACATATTATCATTAATGAATATAGCACCAATTGCCCACACAATAGGTGTCTTTTAAATGTATTAACAAAAAATCACATTTCATCATAAGAGGTTAATATCTGTGTTTAATATAAAAAAAGTAAGTCAGGCCAACAAAAATAAACATTTCAAATTTTAATATTTGAGTAAGAATTGTGCATAGACTTGGGTCTCTTGGGGCCAGTTATCAAGAATCCTCAGATTTTATTGTTTTTTCTTACGGATTTAACAGTTCTTCTGTCTGTCTGTGGCCACTGTCTGCTGGATTCATCAGATGCCCTTAGCCAAACCACAGTATTGACCAGATGTAACTACTACATAATTTGATGGACGGATTTATAGTTCCTTTACAGGGTGATGTGCTTGTCCTCTGAGGCTGCGGTTAACCACAGTGGTGTATGTGAAACTGACCACGGATGCTAATCATAGAGCAGGATCTCAGTTAAGGCGGTTGTAATAGTACTCATTATGGTTTGACCTCAGAACCCACAAAAACAATCTTATTAGTTTATGATTAGAACCATAAAGCCATTTTAATCTTGGTAATGACGAATTAACCTTGGGGTTGCTAGTGACCCTACCATTGCTACAGTACATAGATGCCCGTCGTCTCTTGCTGTCGAGTCTCAGAAACATTCCTTTAAACTTCATTTATTTTTTTTTAGAATGGGCCGCTTTCAGTGCCTTCAAGTTCCTTCTGCGCTGAAGTCTTAATTGCTTGTGCGCACACAGACGTGGTGCTCTGAACAGAGAGAAGCAGGGTAGAAAACCTACGTTGTGGGAAAGTCTTACGCTGTCAAATTGAAATGCCCTCTCCATCATTCCCTGCTTCTCAGAGTAGAGCTGGCAAAGAATTTTCAATGATTGTGTTCAAATAACCAAGAGACCCCAGACGCCCCCTCACTGTATTCAAGTTTGATGTTTTGGGAAATATAACACAAGAGATAAGTAGATTGATACAACTCTCATCACTGTACACTAAAAATGGAGCTACAGCAAGGAGACGGTTAGCTTATCTTAGCACAAAGAACTGGAAACAACTTAGTTAGCTAGCCAACTGTCCAACTGACAGCACATTTGAAGCTCAGTAATTAACACATTATCTCTCTTGTCTGTTAAGTAAAGTGTAAAAATTATAGTTTGCGGTTTTATAGAAGAAATATTCTGGTATATAATCCCCAATATACAATTATTTTAATTTCTGAGCTCTCATCTAAGTCAGCAAGAAAATGAGTATTTCTCAAAATATCAAACAATTCCTTCAACATTAAAATCAGCAACTCCATTGGCATTAAGGTTTTTAAAAGCGTTTTGTGAAATCTAGATGTCTTGATAAGTCCAGCTCTTTTCTCTTACCCAGGACCAGAGTCAGGCTGGGTGTCCAAATTACAATTCTAACTGGGTCAGGTAGGGCCTGGAGAAGGAAAGTGGGAACTTGGTAATGGTGCATCATGCTGCCATGCTATTTTATTTCCCTGTATTTGACTTTCTTTGGGTCGATCACAATTTGAAATTGATTCAATTTATCCTCAGTTTTTCAGTAATTTATTCACGTAGGTTCCAGTAAAACTTACTCATAGCTGTTGATGCCGTGACAAAGTTGATAGATTAAAGCCACTATGTGTAGAATGAGAGCATTTCCAACTTTTGTGCCCCCTAGTGGTAGTGTCAAAGAAGACCCTAACCCAAACCAGGGACACTGAGAATGAAGTCTATACGTTGCTTTCAGTCCTTCACCAATTTTTTTTTATCTGGGGCGTCATATTGTTTTACTAAATTAAAAGGTATTAGAATAATTTGATACAATAAATCTAGACATAATATTGTGACTTAAAGGTCCAGTGTGTAGGATTCAGTGGCATATAGCATTGTAGTTGCAGACTGCAAATCCCTCGCTTCACCCTCCTCTTCCAAGCATGAAGGAGAAACTAGGGTGGCCACGAAATGCGCAAAAAACCCAAACACACCTCTCTAAAGCCAGTGATTGGTTTCCTTCTGCAATTCTATATTCAGGTGATATACACTAATGAAAACATACCTATAAATATTATATTATATTACTGCCAATATAGCCTGTTACACACTGGACAGGAATGAAGAGATTGATGCATATTGCAGTTGAATAATTACTGAGAAAGCAACACTTTGAGTGAAAGAAATCCTAGATTTCTGCACACCCTGTCCACAACTTTTACTCATCCAGCCTCAAAGCCCCATCAGCCATCCTGTTAATGCAAACACAAGTATATGGTTTAGGGGGCACATTTTCTCCTGACCACCCATCATTCACATGTCACAAACCTTTGGGACCATATGCATTACAGCGACGGCTGCTCTCCACAGGGGCCAGGGGCCGGCCACCGATCGATGGCGGTGATCAGAGAGGGAAATTACACTCATAACTTATTCAATGGCCCACAGGTACAACAACGACGTGAAGCACATAAAGATCCTGACCAAGGAGGGCTGTTTCCACATTGCCGAGAACAAGAAGTTCAGGAGCATATTAGTGAGTCTTTTCAGCCGGTTTGATTTTTTAAATTCTACCACTGCAATTCATAAATAAATCATTGCGTTCGCTTAATGAAGTGTCAGAACCTGAATTTTATTTTAGCAGTGTGCACAAAAATAGCCATGATTAGGAACGTGTTTATACTGGCCTGTGGGCTTCAGCATTATAGATAACTCCAGCGCATATTGGAAAGGTTCACCAGTTATATTTATGCCAGGACTGTATTTTCTGTATCTTAGATTAGCTAAAAACAGGTTTCTGAGTATAACATTTGAATACCAGCGTGTCAAAACAGTATTTTAATAAATTATATTTTCACCACATTTTAGAGTTAGAAAAGCTGAACAAAATTTCTGTCCAATGTTGTGGTATATTCAGTCACACTTCTAGGTTCTCATAACATACTGTAATGAACCACATTATTTATTTATTTTTACATGTGTAAATGGCACATCTACAGCAAGTTAAGCATCAGATACTGTGGTAATAATAAGATTAAATTTTTTAGGCAGACTCTTCATGATTTGACAGATATGTAAATGATACAGATGTTTCATGAATAAATGGTCATAAGATCTGGACAAAAAAAAAAAAAAAGAGA